TGTAATTACCACCAATTGTGCTAACCTTTCTATTCAGAAGGACTTGACCTGCTAAAAGGAAATTGAACAATAGCAAAAAAAAAAAAAAAAAATGTTCTTCACCAAAGGGGCATGCTCTGGGCAGGAGCTTTGTTTCAGGGGCCTGACAAATTGGACCCTCCTTCCCCCCCATCCACCTCTCTGAGCCTGAGTCAGGCTGCATCCAGGCGGCCAGGGAGGTCAGACTTGATGGTACCTTGTCACTGACCCTGTTGTGCCCAGCACTAAACACTGCATAATTTAGCATAATTCCTGGCCCTTCTTGGCAATTCTGCTCTCTGCTGCAGATCCTTGGGCCTCGGACATCTTGAAAGAACTCTCAGCTTTCCCCAGAGAGCACCTCGCACCTGAAATTCCTTGCCCTTTGTACCTTCTTTAAAATCAAATCTCTTGTGATTGTCCTGTCAACATTCATCCTAAAATGTGCTTCGATTTTCTGAATCCTATTTTATGTGGCTCGAGCTTTTCATGTGGATGAAGTGAGCCCGCCATCTAACCTTGGGACTCCAGATCTCAGCCTGCTGATGGGTTTATCCAGCCAACCATATTCACGGGCCTGTCTTATGTACCGCATTGTGGGCGCTGTGGATACAGCAGGGAAAGTCAAGGCAAAACCCCTTTCCTTGTGGGGTTTATATTTTGAGAAATCTTAAACTTGCCAGGCACTAATAGCTGCTGGTGAGCATCTAGCGGTGCTGGGAACACGCTGGTGTGAGTGGGCATGGATGTGGGCTGAGGGAGGGGAGGATGTTACAGTCCAGCCGCTTGACATTTGGGCAGAAGACTCGGACCACTCTGGGCCCTGGTGCCTGACCTATGAAGCAAACAGGACAATGATACTGTACCTTGCAGGCAGAGCCCTGACTTTGAGAGTGGAGGGTTAGATCTACCCAGGACTGACGCCCTGGGTGGCTGAGGAGCTGGGGATGTACACTGTGCACAAAGGGCGGCATGAAAAGGCAAGGAGACTGAAGGAGCTGGCGTGCTCCCAGCAGCGAAGAGCCCAGCACAGCAGAGAACAGAGCAGCTGGGGGAGGGGTGGAGACTGGTCAAGCCACACAGCGAGCTGGAGCAGAGCCAGGTAGGGGACCCGGGTCATCTGACTCAGCCCAACCCTTTCACTAGTCCCCACAACCTCCAGTGTGGAGCTGCAGAGGGTAGACTCAGGAACAGGACACCACAGGCCAGGTTTGTCCATGGTGTGGACAGCATGGGGCTGTCGCTTGACAAAGAAGAGGGGTAATAACCAAGAAGGGCCCCAGTTATGAGGCTGGAGGGGTGTAATTTCAGCAAAGACTTGGGGACCAACTGGGCAGGACTTGATACCACGGGTTGAAGGTGGGAAAAGAGGTGAGGCAGACTCGAACACCTGGGGGCAACCTGGAGATTTTGAGAAGATATTCTGTGTCCTTTTCCATGTCCTGACCTAATTCCACTTCTCCCCTATCTGAGTGGCTTCTCCCACCCCTACTTATCCTTGGGACTCAGCGTTGACCCCCTGCCCAGTCACAGCCTTCACAAAGGCCCTTCCTTCCAACCTGTCTGTCCAGCCTTCTTTTCCTGCTTCAGTGGGTGCTGGCCCCTCCCACCACTGTGTTGCACTCAGGCCAAATTCAGTAGTTCTGAATTCAGCCATTGAGCTTTGAGCACCAGACTTGGGTCTTACCTTTCCAGGGCCAGGGACTAAGGCCTGAGGAAGACTCTGAACACAGAGATGAAAAATGGAGTAGATCAAGGCAGCAGATCTCTTCCCCATCAATCATGACAGCTGCCTAGGGTAACCCCGGTGGAAAGGTCTGAGACTGTATCCAGGCTCCGGCTGACAGTGCTGTGATTGACTAGTGATGTCTGGCATGAGCACAGCATGGGGAGGCAGTGTGCATGCCATTTATGTGCAGTCTCTTGCTGACTAGGCCTGGATGATTTGGATGGTCTGCAGCTGTTCTCATGAAAAATCAAAGGTGATGTCCAAGCATCTGTGACTGAGGTAGAAACAGATCCAGAGGGGCTTTTAGGAGAGCTGGGGCCAGTGAAGATGTGAAGATGCAGACCGGCCTCAGCATTCCTTTCACCTTTCCTCCCACCTCCACTTGCTGTGCACTCCATAATGTTGCCCCTAAGCCCCCTCTGTCCCCTGACTGGGGGCTCTGCAACCTCAGCTTACAAAGGAATTTCACTTTAACAGCCTGACTCCTGTTCTGCACTGTAGTCTTTGGGCAATTGATCTGAATATTTTATTTCCCTTATGTTTTTATAAAAGGACTGTGACAGTGAAGATACCAGGGGTGGGAATGCTGTTCTCCTAAATGACTGTAGCAGCAGAGCACACCAACCATGGAATTGGCCTTGGTATGCTCACCAGCTTTGGATAAATCACGCCACTCATAATCAAAGAGCACTCTGCATGCTGCTGGGGGACCCGGGAGGGCACATTTGGCCAGATTACAAGTGGCCCTTATGACACCTCAGTGGCCCAGTCCACTTGAAATAGACTGGGAAGAGCATGACCAGCAAGTTCAGTCCCCTGAAGATGGCCCCATGGATGAAGGGCAAATTCTTATGATTTTTAATTCCTCTTATGTTTTGCATGTTAATGTTCTTTCCCTTAAATTTTGTGTGCATTGGGGTAAGCTAAGCCACAGAAATATCATTAACCAGGCATTCTGGATAATTCATCTTCTGCCATACAAGTGGAAATTGTTCAATGAAAGCAGTAGATTTGAGGTTGACTTTTCCTAGACTTGAGCTATTTACAGGAGGCTTCATTTTAAAGGAAGAAAAATCAAGGATTTTCATAAAATGCTGAAGCTCTATGGTAAATTATACCTGCATGGTTAAGGGGAGCAGATTTTTCTCTTCCTGCTCTCTGACCAGGAACCATCAACCCTTATTGATTGCTGGTGTCTAATTTTTTTTATCATTATTATTATTGTTATCATCATCATCATTATCATTTTAACTGCTGTTCTCTTACATGTCTGACCTGTGTTCACCCTGTCTGTATTATATTATATATGACAGGGAGAGATTGTTTGTATTGATGATATGACATATTGATTGAGATGCTGGTTATTTGGAAACAGGCATGCTGAAATTGCTGGGCAAGGCAATGAGTGAATGGGCTGGGGATGGTGCCATCCTCTTGGGTGGATTCAGTGTCTGGGTGAAATCACCTGGCCTTCCAGGTTGGAGCCACAGGACCTGTTGTCACTGCCCCCTGCTGGTTCTTATTTCCTATCTTTTAGGGCTGGGTTTGTCCTGCTTTGTCACTGTGAAGTGAATGGTTTATGCTCATGTTTATGTACTGTAGGGTCTCTTACCTCGTGGTTTTAAGTGCAAAGAAAAGGTAGTAGTTTTGTTCTGTAGTCTTTCTGTCTCCTCCAAAGGATATGCCTCAATGAAATGAGAAGGCATTTGACAAAGATCACTTTGTGCACTGGATTTGGTGTCTCTATTTCAACATTTCTAGGTTATTAATTTACATGAAAATAAAAGAAAGAAATCATAAATTTATTTTTCATTTGTCCCTTACTCCTTTGGTTCCCCACATCACATTTTCTAAACCTCTATTCATCCTCTATAGGCTATTAGAACTGGATCGCCTCCTTGGGAAGCCCTCCCTGACTGCCCTCCTCTCTGCTCCATAGTCCTTTGCACTCCCCCAGGTACATGATGCATCTGTATCTACCTCCCTCCATGTCTGTCTGTTCTACCAGTAGGGAAGCCTCTTGAAGCAGAAACCTCCAGCCTGTAGAAATGAAAAATTGAAAGCAGAAGCTTCCATTCTTACTTGTACCTTCCAGAGTCTAGCTCAGTGCCTGGTATGAGGAGAGCTTTTCGTGTTTGACTGAGTGACTAGGTGGGTGAGTGAGTAAATGAATAAATGAACCAGTGGGGTAAGGGCTAGTGAAAAGAAGCGAGAGGCTACAAGAGGGGAGAGGATCGCAGAGCTTAGAGCACAGTTTCTTTATCTAGGAACCCGAGTGTCTGAGCCATTCAGACACATGTGCACATACCTGTGTCCATGCATATTTTGGGGGAGGGGAAGAGGGACCAGAGCTGCATCAGATTCTCGAAGTGTCCATTCCCCCCTCCCCCAGTGTTGACAAACAGATGGACTGGACAGGACCAAGTGATTGAGGAGAGGATGTGACAAAGCAGAGCAAATCTGGGGGCAGGGTTGGGGGTACACTGGGTCCTGCTGAGATCTCAGACTCAGGGCAGGAACCTGTGAGGTCTGGGAGGTGCTGCCCTTACTGTCTGAGCTCGCGTGTGGGGAAGTTCAGGGGAGATTTCGTTTCAGAATCGTTCCTGATTCTGAACCAGAATTGTGACCCAAAAGTGCCTCTTGGGTTCATTGGGTCCAATCACCAGCTGCCAAGCAGACCCAACCAAAATGGTTCCAGCAAACATTGGGTCTTCCTGCCCCACAGCTCCCCACACCGGGTCCCCTTCCCTCGCATCCCTCCCCCACGTGTCCCTTTCCTGTTCTATCCTGTTCTATCTTTGGCTGTAAAAACTCGAGCTTTATTTTATAAATTGTGGTTCTCGGCCTGTTGGTGAACTATGACCTGCATTTAGACCATCAAGGCCCACCTTGTAAAGGTAGGAGAGAAAATCCTAGACGCACCCCACAGGGGAGAGTGAGGATGGCTTTGTGTGATTGCCTGCCCAGCTCCATGTCTACAGAATCATCATATTATCAGTATCTCCTCCCGCGGCTGATGCTCAAAATGTTGGAAAGATACGGACACCCGCCTCATCAAGGGCTCCCAGGGACCCTTGCTCACCAGCTCTTGCAGGGTGGAGGCGAGAAAGGGGGCGGGAGAACTGCCATCTTGCATTTCAGTGCTGTTCCAGGAATCCTCTGCTCCGGGGAGAAGCTGGGGGCCCTGCCACATCGCCCACATGTCCCCACAATTGTCACACCCTCTTGATCCTCTCTTCTCCTCCCCTGGCAGGTCGTATACGTCACCGCGACGTTCCCCTATATCATGCTTCTGATCCTCCTAATCCGAGGGGTCACATTGCCAGGGGCCTCCGAAGGAATCAAGTTCTACCTGTACCCTGACCTCTCCCGGCTCTCTGACCCACAGGTAAGTGCTCTCACCACACGTGGTGCCCCGTGCCCCATGCCAGCCTGCTGTCCCTCCGGGACCATCAACTGCTGTGAATTAAGGCCACAGGGAAGCAAATCTGGAATCACCAGAACATCAAAAGCAACAAATTTGTGACCTGACAATGTGTGTGCTTCTTTATTGGTGCAGTAAATAGCAATTCTGACAGCAAATTTAATAATGCTTGCAGGCAGAGAGGCACAGAGTGGTGTGGGGGGGCATCTGTGCTGTGACCGGGAAGCCTCTGCTTTGTGCTGCTGTCGGGGCTGTGGCTCGTCCCTGCCTCCACAATTGAATAAAATGCTAAGTTTCGGTTAGAGGCGAGTGGCAATAAAAACACACAGAAATCCTCACTTAATGTGGTCCTTAGGTTCTTGGAAGCTGTGACATTGAGCAACGTGGTGGTTCGTGCAGTCAGGCCCCCAGCGAGGGGCTTTGTGTTGGCGTGGCCAGGGCTCCTTTATTCTCACTGGCGTTAATAACAAAATGACCTTGAGTGAATCTCTTGTCGGAGGCCTGCTGTGCAGTCTCTCCCCACCTGAGCGCCAGGTCTCTGAAGTCAGAATATCAGTGAGACAAACTGGATGTTCGGTGGTGATTTTCTCTGTGGTGGTAGCTCAGAAAGAAAAGGATCGGTGAAATCAGGCTGACCCGTGGTTTGTCTTTGGTGAGGCCTTGGCTGTTCTGCATGGTGAGTAGTTACTGTTTACACCTGCCTCTCTGCGTGGGTGGGATGGTGTGCCTGGGGTGAGGTAGACAAGAGATGAAAACAGCATCTCCAGCCCAGGCCTTCTCAGCCTCTGCAACTTTCTAGAAGCTCCTGGGGAGCTTTAGAAAATTCCACTTCCCAAAGCACCACCCAGATTGGTCAAAATGAACTTGTTGGAGGAGGGTCCCAGATATCAGTGTCCTTCAAAGGCCCCCAGATGATGCCCGTGTGAAGGGAAGGATGAAGGGCTCCAACCTTCACCTGACCCTGCCCCCCACTCCATCCACATTGCTCTCTGCCTCTGCTGCCAACAGCCAGGTACCAGCTTCATCATCTCCTACCTGACAAGTACAGCAGCATCCATACTGGTCTTCCAGAAATGTTTTTGATCCCTCTAGGCCACTCCCCATCCAGCAGTGATATTTCTGAGATATAAATCTGATAGGTACCCCTTTGTTTTAATTGATTCTGGGGTTCCTGCTGTCTTTGAAATAAGATCCAGAGGATGGGACCTCAAAGTCTCCATCACTCCCTTCCTTCCATCTTATCCAGGTATTGTGCCTTTCTGCCTCAGGACCTTTGCACATGCCTTTTCTGTGCTGGGAAACAAACACACCTTCTTCCTCTGGCCTTTCTTCTCTACCTTGCCTGCCTTATATCCTACCTGACTCTAATTTTTTTATTGCCTGCTCTAGCTAGAATACAAATTCTGTGGGGCAGGGAAGCTGCCCCAAGATACAAGGTTTGTACCTGTCTTGTCCAACTCTATGTTCCTAGTGCCTGGCCAGCCCAGTGCCAGGTGCATAGTAGGTACTCAGTCATTGTTTATTGAATGACTGAACAAGAGCTCTATTGATTTTTGAAGAAAGATTCTGTTGCTTCAGCATGAAGCCTAACACCATCTAGTTCACCAGACCGGGGTGCTGTAATCTTTTTTGGTTCTCTGTTGGTGATGACTGGGAAGATGGGACAGAGAGAGGGAGAGAAGCAAATGTGATAGGCTGATGAAGTGAGGAGGTGGTGGTGGGCATACTCCTCCCATCCCCCCAGCCAGTGATGCCGGACAGCCCCAGAAAAGGTGTAAAGAGAGATCAGCTGTGGGTGCTGGGCAACTGGGAGCGCAGCTTCTCCTTGGTGGCTGTGAGGTTGAGAGAGAGCCATGGGGCTGCTTTCTGATCCAGAGACAGTGCCCCTATGGCTGGGGTCTCAGGGAGGGTCCCCCCCCCGCCCCCTGCATACCCTGTTGACCAGCCCAGACTCAGCTTTCTCTTGACACTTCTCAGCATCCCAGATGCCACCTGTATCACCATCCTCTGCTCGCTAAAATGCAAACTCAGTGGGGGCAGAGAATCGATTTATCACACACTGTTTCTGCTCCACCCCTGGACCAGGCTGCGCCTGCCTTGCAGTGAGTGCTCAGTAGTGAATTTGTGAATGAATTGAATGACTGTGTGGACAGATGGACGGACAGACAGATGGACAGATGCATGGCTAGATGGTTGGATGGGTGGTTAGAGGACATTTTCAGGTAAGTCTGTATGACTTTGCATCGCAGCGACACAGCAGAAACTGTCGTGCGTGTTCTCCCATGAGAGGGGTTTTAGGTGCAGCGGAATCTTGTATCTAGAGAAACATGAGAACTGCTGTGTTGAACCCCTGGGTGGCCCCAGCCTGTCCCTCCCTGTCTGGGCTCCTGGTTCTCGCCTGCTGGGGGGGTGAGAACACCACAGGTCAGGGAAGTTGGGAACTAGTGTGCACATAATGCAGAAGCACCTTGAGTTTGTTGTGGTGCCCAGTTCAGGGCCTGGCACATAGTAGGGATCCCTGAACACTATGGGATTCCCCACGTTGGTTCCTGTCACTGACTCCAGGCAGGACGAGCCCAGGCCCCACAGCCCAACAGGGAGGCTTTGAACTCGGAACCTAAGATTACAGATCCAGTAAATTAAGTTTCTTGTCAAGAACTTGAAGCAACACAGCATTTCGCCTTCTTTGTCCCTGGCAATTTGCATTCCGTGGTCTGTTATAACTTTCTAAACATCTATTTGTCCTCACTGTCAGCCCTGTGTTCTCTCTCAAGTGTGAAGTGCCTCCACTCCATTTTTTTCCCCGCAAATTTTTATTTTCTGTCTTTTCAGCCTTTGGGGAGCTGAGGGACTCTTGCAGGAAATCACATTTTCCCTGCCCCAGATTCCTGCCACTCTCCCTCTCCATTGTGTTTCAAGTGTGTGTTTTCAGGGCAAGAACAGAAGGCCTGTCACAGATCCAAATCGCGGGGTCTGCTTTCCCAGGGCGCGCATGAGTTCCCCAAGTCTGCCTTCTCTCTGGAAGGAGCTGGAGACTGAGACCAAGGTGTCTGATTCCCTGGGGATGGGGCAGAGGATGTTCAGACAATGAGGGTGCCCCAGAACACCAGATCCCCCCACCTGCCCGCTAGGAGCACAAATGAGGGAAAACAAGCCCCTGGTTTGAAATCCCACTTGATCAACCTCCTGGATATGGCTGTGGAATTTGCTGCCACCTGGTGGCAGTGTACTCTGATTCCAGGCCAGGCCCCAAGGACAAATGGGCCTCTCAGCTATTGGGCTTTCAAGGCAAAATTTACATATGGACATCAACTTAGAGGGATTAGATATGTTTTTGAAAATACTGCAAACAACACTGATGTGGGGGGGAGGCACTTCCTAGAACTGAAAATCCTCCAGGGTTTCTTTTCAGCATATTTGATTCTAGGTCAAGGTTGCTTTTCCCCCAGCATCAGTTTGTTATCCACTCTGCAGCAGGCCCTGGAAAAGCCAAATCAGATCCCATGTAGTTCTTATCTTCAAGGAGATGGCAGTCTTGGGGAAAGACAGTTAGTCAGTGTAACAGGAGTGTAGGACAGTGCTGGGGTACAGATGGCCTGGCACAGGTGTGCCCCTCCACCCAGTAGATAAGCCCCTCAAGAATTAGAAACAAGTTAGTGACCTAACATCATGTAGCCTGAAAGGACGCCAGTAAACATTTCTTCTTTTCTTGACTGCTGGAAACTCCATAAGAGTTTCCTGTGTGGAACCAGAGTTCCCGTGCCCTCCACTGAGATTCACTGGGGCACCCCTAAATTGTTTGAGCCACAGGCTTGCTCAAGATGTGGGTTTGGAATCTTTCATTCTCAGCAGTTCCAGAAGTGCCTTGTTAATCTGCAGCCTGAGTGATCCAGGAACTGCTGGCTTCCCGTGACTAGCAGCGACAGTGGTTGTCATCTCTGTGCCTGGCCAAGCTGAGCTTGTTGGCATTTAATGTATCTGATTCACTCCATCAGCAAATAGTCCGTAATTGAAAGTTATTATGTTATAGACCCAGGGGTTAAGTGCTCTTGTATACAAGTACTGTTTATCCTCATGGCCACTGAGATAGGGCCTTATGGTCTTGCAGCTGTAAGGAAAGTCCTGGCTTATAGGTTCTGAGGCTTTTGAAACTGCTATCTTACCGTAAGGATACTGACACTTACAGTGAGGATACTGACACTCCGAGAGGTTGAAGCTCTTGCCTCCTCTTTACACTTGAACCTAGTTACACATGACTCAACCAGGTAAAAGGTGCAGTGCTAAAACTTTGTTGTCTCTAATTTCTCTGGGCTTACCTCGTCTCTGCCCAGCCCGAGGCTGGCATTCCTCGCTCTGTCATCTAAGCATCCCACACCCCCGTGACTACCTTGCAAGAATCCTGGCATTCGCATGGGGCAGGTCTAGTGCCAGCCTGCCCAGGAAGTCCCTCTGTGCTAACCTGTTCAGCCTCTGATTGGCCCCTCCTATGCGTGGGAAGCCCCCTCACCTCCACTTTGGGACCACCCTCGACTCACCTGACTCCCAATGTTGGCACATTTATTCATTGTCTCATTTCCATATTCTTTCTTGATTTCTTTGCTCTTATTTGTCAGTGCCCCACCCTCAGTGTGGGCACCAGGGTTGAAAACCCTAAGCAACTGAGGCACAGCCAGTCTCTTCAGGGATCGCTGCCTCTTGCTCTCCACTGCCCGCTTCCTCCTACCACAGACAGTGGAAATAGGCGAGTCTCCATGGTGAACAAAATGGTGATAGTTCCTGGTGGCTCAGGGTAGGCTTTGTGTCAGGGAATCATAAATAAGGTGTTGATAGCAGTCTGAGGCCCCTTCATTGGGGCCTTGGGGGCCAAGTTCAAAAAGTTTCACCCCATGATCTTCAGGGTGCTGATGAGTAATTTGGGGATAGAAATTGGCCAATCTGAACAAAACCGTTGCTTCAAAAGATTA